TCAGCTTTTCCCTGTTGTGAAAACAATGAACTAGTAATCCAATGAGGGAATTTTCAAACCCAGGAAGCAAAGTTTGCTGTATGCAACTTGTAGAAGAAGAAAAAAAAATGATTGGAAGTTATTTATAATGGATATACACGATCTTGAGATATCAAAGCTTACTTTTTGATCATCTAGTAGTCCAGAAAAAGGATGCAACCCTCCTTCCCTTTCCTAGCCTCTTAATTGTCAACTTAGGCCATATGTTTAACAGGTTAGCCACTAGATCAAGTTGGTATCAAAGCATTATTTCTTGTTATATGGTACGAACAAGAAGGGCCATGAAGATAAGAGAAAATTGCTTATCCTGGAGACCTATTGGAAGTCGAAAAGGAGATAAGGGAAAGAATATGTGAAAGGAATCAATGATTCTATGCAAATCTAACTGATTAGATAATCGGACTTGGAGAGCTGGTAGCCACCCAGATGAAGTGGATGTGGAGGCAAACAAACGCAAATGCCACTTGTGGGCTAAACCATTTTCCTTCTACTTCTATTCAAATACAATTATGTTTGGAGAGGATGAAGATGTAGTCAGAGCTTTTGATGAGGACATCCAATCGTGGAAAGTTTATCAGAGAAGAAGCATAAGATCTGCGGTCATGATTGGACCACTTTATTTTTGAGTTATTATTTGTATTTGGTATATTTATGCATTTTTCCGTTTTTACTCTCACTTGAGGGAGTAGGTTCATGTGACCCGGGGGGCACTTTCGTCTTTAGAATTGTGATTTTATTTTGGCTATTTATAGTCCCCTTCTCCTCTTTGGAGGATGATGATTATTATGAGAAGAAAATTCTGCACTTTGTGTTTGAGAGCTGGAGAGTTCATGTGAGAGTTGAAGTCTCTAGGTGAGGGTAACGTATTACCCATCAACCGCAGGAAGCGTTCGGGCTCGTGGTCCTTCTCCTCCACCAACTTATTCTCCTTCTTTCTCATAGCCGCCGACCTATCCTCCTTTTTTTTCCATTGACCGAAATTCCCCACCCAAACCCTAGGCCAACCTCCACCTTTCCCCTTCCTCCCTTGGCTGAAATCCACCCCAAGCCCTACGCTGACCCCCATCCAACCGCCGGCCCCACCTGCCTTCCCTAAGCCGCCGGCCCCATCAACCCTCCCCTTGGATCCAAATTCATCCAAGCATTTACTACTTTCTTAAATTACTCATTGTAAATTTGGAAGGTCAATTAATTCAAATTTGAATTTGAAATTCCTTTTTTAAATAAGATGAGTTTTTTTAGGAAGGTTCATCCAATCAAGGTCATTTAAATTTGAATTTAAATTAGAGAGATAATTGTATTAAATTCTCTTTCTTAATTTAATTTGGCTTAGATTGACAACTCATTTAAGCCCCTTAATTCCCTCAAATCTACATTAAATCATGTGGGCCCCTCCCCTTTCTCTCTTGGTTGCCCCCCTCCTCTCTCTCTCTCTCTCTTTCTCTTATAATTATGAGGTCCATTAAAGCTCGACAATCAATCCATCAATTCCCCATCTATCTGGGCAGCCCCCCTCCCCATCCATCTTTTTTTTTTGAAATTCAAATTCAAATTTCCCACTCATCTCCACCAATTAAAGCTGAAATTAAATTTCAGATTTTGGAAATTGCTTTCCTTCCTCAAACAACACACAAAATCCGGAATTAACTTCCCCTCCCTTCTGTAATGCCGACCAGTTAACCCCCCCCCCCCCACCCCCCCTTCTCTATATACTTCTTCTCTTATGCTTGATATTAGACCTAAGGAAGAAGAAGTAGATCCTCCTCTCTTGAACAACTACATTCAACTCCTCGAGCATTGCAACCCTTCAACGACAACAAGGAGTGCTTGTCCCAAGGCAAACCATAGATGAACATCGCCCTGATCCTAAAGAACATTAGAGCACAAGTTCAGAAGCTTGACGGAATCACACATCAAGATTAGAAATTTGATGAAGGTGAACTCTCTTCCGACCCTTTCTCCTTCTAACCTCCCCTCAATCATGACATCGTTAAAAGTTATGAAAGCTTCTCCGCTTAGTCATATAATGAGTATGTGCGGGGGATCTTAATAGTGACTAGTCTTATTTTTTGAATCAAGGGATTTCTTTTGAACCCCCACATTAAGCAAATTTGGATTTATTTTTATTATTGTGTGCTCCGAATTTTATCTTGTGATCAATTGCCCATGCTTAATTATTGCTTTATATTTTTCAATATATTGTTTAATCCTTTGGAAGTTGAATAACTGCCATTGCTCTGTCATAAAGCGTGTAGTTTCAAAGTTAATACATTTGCCTTTGCATGTAGTTCTACAGCTTTCTGAACTATGCAATCTTAGGCAGTGACGTCAAGTATCACTAACTACTAATGTTGGAATAATTGATGCTAAGAAGTTGGATGCATGGATTAGTTAGTAGGAGACCTTACCTTGTATTATATAACTACCAATCTACCATGAAAATTTTTTCTTCGCTCGTCCGAAGTTAAGTTATCATGTCTTGTCATGGTGGATTGCACATATGAAGATGAATGACTATATAGAGATAATTTGAGGGATTTTCAGGTAGCTAATTCATTGAGAATTCTACCTGATGGCTAGAGGTGTCAATATTTGACACGACCCAAAAACCCGACTCGAAAATTTCAGGTTAGGGTCAAACCGGACCCGAAACAGATCGGGTTCGGGTTCAACAAATTGACCCGTTTCAAAATCGGATCGGGTTCGTGCTGACCCAGTAATTCAAAATTGACTCGAAAATCATTTTTGACCCGAAAACCCGAGATTGACCCGCTTTTGACCCGAAGACTAGCAATTTTTTGTCTGTCCCGGGTCATTCAGGTCGTGTCGGGTTGACCTCGACCCGATCCCGCGACTCCCGCGTGAACTCTATCGCATCTCGTTGTCGCCGGATGCCGGCTGAAGGCCCACCGATGCCGCCAGACATTGTTGCCGTGAAGCTGCTCACGGCTTTGCCGTGTCCTTGGGTTGGGTCGGGTTGACCCGAACCTGAAGCCGGTCGGGTTCGGGTCCGAAAAATCGTCCCGTTTGTAAAAACGGGTCGGGTTCGAGTTGACTCGAATTATGCCGGGTCATTTTCGGGTTCGACCCGAATCCGACTAGTGACCCGAAATTGACAACCCTACCCAAACCTGACTCGTGACCCGAGACCCGAAATTGACACCCCTACTGATGGGTATGTAGAAGATTGGTGAAAAAATAGCATTGTTTGAGACAACACTAAGGACATTATTTAGGGGTGCAGCAGGAAGCTTTGATGCCAAGTGTTCCCCTTGGGAGTAAATTTTAGGGATACACAAAGTTTTATGAAATAAACATCTTGACATTATTCGCAAATTGCAAATGATCATTGTTCTCATCCTTGATCTCAATTAAACTAGTATGGAGGAGGCAACGAACATAAAGCATAAGAATTAAGACAAGAAAGAGAAGGCAGAAAAACCATCTAAAGAAGAATTCAACTTAAAGAATAAAAAGTGTTATTGATGCGGACATCAGTACGAAGATTTGGCGCATCTGTCACAGGCAGCGTCGTAAATCGACGGCCATTATTTAAAATTTTAAATTATGAGTTATTTTCTGCATTTTAGTATATGTGAGTGTTATGGCCCAAAGGGCAATTTTGTAATTTTTTTTCTCATGTTGTGGCCTATATATAGGGCCTTTAGCTATTGTAATAGGGGATGATTATTGAAAATGAAATTCCTCTTTTGTGTTCTCTTTGTGAGTTCATTTTTTCTTGATCTCTTGGTGAGTTCAATTCTCCTAGATCTGTGTGTGAGTTCTATGGAGAGCCCAAGGTGAGGGCAAAAGCAATACCCGTCAATCTTGGTGGGTTCCAAGGTTTGTGGCTCTCTTATCTTTCTTTTCTTTTATTTTCTTCTTGCATAGAATTCCCTTTCCACCCGTCTACGTTCATAGTTTCCACCACCGGTCATTCCCACCACCCAAATTCTCTCCCATATTCCTCCACCTCAAGCCCCTGTTTCCCCCAACCCGCCGGCTGCCTTGGCCTAACAGCCGCCAACCGCCCCTCCCAAAACCACCATCTCCACCACAGCCCGTTAAAGAATAAAAAGTGTTATATATATATAAAGCATAAGAATTAAGACAAGAAAGAGAAGGCAGCAAAACCATCTAAAGAAGAATTCAACTTAAAGAATAAAAAGTGTTATATATATATATATATATCCAAAACTTTCTTTCAGCTCCAAGTCAATGTTGTAGGAAAATTCTTTGTTAGATATTTGGCCATACCAAAGAAAATGCTAGAAAAATGCACCTTGAGCTCTTCCCTAGACGGTGGAAGATCGATGGCGAAAGAAAGATGTGTTGCTTTTGTGGACAGCGTCGTAGTTAGTCCCATAGACATGGATGTCCATCTTTAGCTCTGATGTTTCTGGTGAAGGATATAATGGCAAATTTTGTATTGAATTTGAAATTTACCACTGTATACTTAAAGTGCTTGATGGGGGAATGATGACAAACCTAATCAAGATCTCATGCATACAAATCAATGACGAAAAATGGCACGTGCTATGGTGTGGTGCACTAATTCTAAAACAGAATGGACACGCTGAAAGGAAATGCATTCTATTCTGACTACTGAGTCATTTATATATAAAACTGCTGTACCTGTCAGATCATGTAGATCAAAGTGCTGCTATGTGCTGTCAAAACGTTTATAAATTTAGGCTTCGTTTGGGGCTTTATTACTGCTTCTTAAAGCAGCTTTTTAAAAAAAAAATAAAATTTTTGTACTTGAAAGCTGCTTTAAGAATCAGTAAGAAAGCCGTCCCAAACGAAGCCTAAGTGGGAAGCCTAATGATTTTTCTGAATGTATGTTATTTCATTTGTTATATGTCTTTGCATTTATTAATCTTGATTTCTCTTTAGTATACACAATCTTACAACTTTTGATATAGTAGATTCTTCAGCTAAACTTTTGCTTTATCATTTAGATTGCTGTTAATGGAAAGGGCTTCAACCACTCAGCTAGAGATGCTTGGGAGTTATTCCAGTCTACTGGGATTGAAGCACTTGTTGCCTATGATTGTTCAGGTGCTGTTCTTCTCATGGGAATTATCTTGGGTGGATTAGTTACTGGAACTTGCTCGGGAGTATGGACATGGTTCAGAAAGAGTGACGAGGTGCTTATGGTTGGCTCTACTGCAATATTGATGGGAATGGTTTTGGTGAGTTCCTTTACAATTTACATCATATTTTGTTTGGTTTTCCGACATTTTTTTGATAGAAAAGAATCAAGAATTTGTTGGAAGGCAAAAAAGAACATGCTTTGTTTTCCCTGCGACAGAATTTAAGAAAACCCTAATCTCCATATCTCTTACTTGAGATATTCTGAACTGTGTGAAACTATAGGAAGAAAGGAATCAGGAGAAATTGGAAGAACTAATCCAATGATGAATAGCGACTTCCGGAATATTTTTGGCTATAACTATTTGTTTGATAGTGGACCTTAATTTTTTGCAGAGAGGTAGAGTGGAGGTGAGTGGATGAACTAATGCCCTAGAGAGAGGAACAAGGGATAGAGAGAGAAAGTAATAAGGAGAACTTTAAAAGGAAGAGAATCCTTAGAAGAGAGGTCACAAGAAAACTATGATCTCAATTCATTTTTCATTTAGTTCAATGTTTTATTAAAAAGAAAACTACCCCATCTATAGAATAGGGATAACTAGATAAGATCAAATCTCAATTGAAGCCTATCCTATTCAAACTATCTTAATAATTCTTCAAAAGGATAATTTTACATAAAATAGAACAAACAAATTTAAAATAAAATAATTAAAATAAAGCCTAAATTTTTAGAAAAAAATTAGCTTAGAATATTCTAAGATAATTTTGGTTATGATCATTGTTTAAAATTACGTATTCGGGTATTGAAACGTTTTGGTTTGTGAGGCGAGGCATAAGCCTCAAGGCGTTTTGAGGCTTAAGCCTCAAAATTAAAAGATTGCATAAAGATTTTTAATGTACTAATGACTAAATAATATATAAAACATAAAAAAAACACCAGATATGAAGTGAAATCAAAATAACAAATACAACAAACCTTTATCCCATTATGTGGGATCGGCTACATAAATTTTTTTTTTCCCGTTGTCCCATTAAAAGTCAAATTCTCATCTAAATATGTCTGTGTTTACATCTATGATGCACAATATTTAGTTATCTTAAAGTAACAGTGTTCGGCATATCCAGAACACGAAACGCTTATGACATTTACCAAGCACATTGTCATCATGTTTGATTAAAATAAATAAATAAATAAATAATTGACATATATATCAGACATACATGTAACGAGTATGAGAGTGACATAATTTATGAAAGAGTCGATGGCATAAGAAACATTTAATTTTGAAAGGGAGCTAAAATAGAACTTTAAGAATTAACTTATTTAGATTGCCTTAATTTGAACTCTCTTTTTTTTAATAATTTATTTGACAGAATTGTATTGAATTGTATGCATTTATGTTTATTGAATCTGTCAATTTACTATTTCATGCTTTTAGTTTTTTACTATGATGCACCGACACTTCTTCTCAAAGAGGCGTGCAGTGTTTGACACGTATCCGACATGACACATGTCCGACACTCCGACACATTTCAGACACGCCTAAAATGTGTCTGATTAAAAAAAATATTAAAGATAAATTGGACACGCGTGCCTGACACGTGTATCTTAAATATTTTATGCTTTTAAATATAATTATTGTATTTAAAATTTATACTTATTTAAAATATAAAAATTAAATTTCTTATTTCCTATCCACAACACCAAATCAATCGGCCGTACTTATAACCCATTCATCAAATATTCTCATTTTCATTTCTTTTTAGCGGGTTACAATTTTGATTTCACAACAATATCCGATGTAATCTCAACATCGACGTCTGACGTCGTTACAACAAAAATATTTCAAAACGATCTCCATATCAAAGTCTGACACCGTCTTTACATTGACGCTCGATGCTAGCAATTTCTACACTCACAACTTAGCATCTCATCTTTGTCTGACGTCTTCTCAACATCGATGACTAACGCCCTCTCAACATCGACGATAAATGCCTTCTTAATATTGAAGCCCAATATTTACTGCATAACATCAATGCCCGACTCTCAACATCATTGACATCTCCTCTCTCGATGAATGATAAATGACATCAATGCCCGACTCTCGACATCCTAATATTAATTATTTTAACCACAAATTCTAATTAAATGACTTATTATTTCTAAATTATTTTTAAAATTATACTTATTCAAATTTTATACACAATTTTTAAAATATAAAACTATAATACCGTGTCCAACATGTATCCATGTCCTATATTGTTAATAATTGGCATGTCTCGTGTATGTTCACCGTGTCTGTGTCAGTGCATCATAGGTTTTTTAAGATACAGGCATACATATATTGAATACAACATTATATATAAAGGCCATGCCCAATACTTGTTGTGTTCCATTGTCTGTATCAATGTATCATAAGCTCAAACATTTAAATAAAATACTATATGCATTCATCAAATTTGCATGTTATTTAGCTTTAGTATGGCTGTTTCAGGTCGGATTGGCAGTGGTGGTTGTAGAGAGTGCAGTCACATCAATATACATCTGCTATGCAGAGGATCCCTCTTTGATTCAGAGATGGGATGCTGAGTTCTTTGATCAGATGTCTGAAGCACTGCACCAACGCTTGCAGTATCGGAGTGCTCGCGCCCGTCATATTATAATGAGCAGCAGATTTGATCAAAGGTCTGATACTCCATCATTTTGATAAGATAGCAACCTAAAGAAACAAATAAACAAAAAAAGGGAAAAAATCAGTAAGTGTAATTCATTCATAGAGTAATTTATTTTGGATTCTTCATATTTCCTTAGCTTTTTTAGAAGGATTAAGACAGGCCAAAGGTTCTTGATTTGCTTCTTTTGCAAGTTATATGTTCTTTTGGTTCATACTGTAATAGCTTACAAGAAAGGAATAATAGCATATCATCAGTTTTTAGTTTGCTCAAACTTAACACAGGCTTTTCTTGTAGAACCGTCCAGGTTGTCAGGTGAAATTATTCTGTGCGGATACGGAGGTTGTTCGGAGACGAATCAGAATGTATCACGTCACACGTTTGCTGTGTACCGGGTGATGTGGTGAGTTCTGATTTGCCTCCGAACTGTCCGGTGTCCGCACAAAATAATTTCTCGATTGTAAGGGAGTGTTTATATTCATCGCCGCTGGTTATGAGCTTAGCAAACCAGCGGCCATGGCCATGGTGGCCTGTGGCTTCGATTTATCTCCAGCAGTTCCACTTGGTAATATGCTCATATACCAGTTGGTCATAGTGATGATGATCGAAAAATGCTGGATTTCAAAATTATTAATTTAGGGTCCTTAGGCGCAATTGCCAATATTTTTTAAAGTCTAATGTCAGCTTCTTACAAAATCATGATCTTCTGTGCCCCTTGAGGGATTTTAGTTCCAGAGGAAATAATTTTCAAATTTATGTGAAGTTCAACTACAAATTCTTTTAATGAATTGTTCAATATCATAATGATTATTTTTCCATCAAATAATCTCTTTTAGTTTTTTTTTTGTAATTTTTTTAAAGTCTTTTAGGTGTTGACAATTGATCAACTTAGATTTAAGAATCATGGGATTAGTTGACATGCACATGAAGAAATCAAGTTTCTCTAAGTATAGGAACATGAGACATTTAGAGCACATAATAAGACACTTTTTTATTCATTTGAATTAAAAAAAATGATGATTTTGTTAAGTTTAAAAAATTATATAGAGTAAATGTAGAAATTATTTCAAAATTAAAATTTTATATTTGCCCAAGTTTTCAAAGTTATTGTGAAAGAGAAATAATTTTTTATTTTGTAAAAAAAATTACAAATAGTAGCAAATAAACTCTTTCATAATTTAAATTAATATTTTTAAAATTAAAATTGAAAGCTCTTATAAAAATATTTTTATAATAAATTAGAATTTTAACATTGAATGTTTAGGGAAATTATTTGGGGTAATATATCTTATTACTTATATTTTAAGATTGAGTTTGAAAATATTTTAGCATTGATATGTGACCTTATATGAGGAATTCAATAAAGGGTGCCATGGCCAAATAAATTTCTCAAGAGAATATATCCTATTTGTGACTTTAATAATTATATTTCTAGGTGTAATAATAACATTGGCTTCCTCTTTCACCGTTGCATGATTGATGCATTCGGGTCCCCGATAGAGTGTCTTGATAGGGAAAAATTATTACGTCCGGACCGAAAACCGGAAATCCGGACGTATACCGAGCATACCGAGTGCTCGGTACCGAGCTGCAGGTGACGTGGCGCGTGGTTATTGGTTTCTGGACGTGTTCGGTGTCCGGACGTAATAATTACTCATAGATAGAATACAGTCGTCTATTTCATTAGTGTGCATACATTTCGAGTGAGAATATGTCTATTTAAGAGTAGTTGATATGAAGTATGGAAGCAACATTGTGAGCTCCCAACCATCTTATTTCCATTTTTGCTAAAGTTCGCCATAATGTTGGTGCATTCTAATGTTGCATTTCATTATTGTATGCATGTTTGGATATTAGATCATGATCAACTACTAATCATACAACATGAAGAGGCAATAAGAACAAATTAGCCCTACTAGGTCATTTGTTAACTTGATCTGATTGGAAATAAGTACAAGAAAGATTCGTTGAGACTGATTGATATGTTTTTGGCCTTAGTTTTATTCAAAAGAGATATTATGAAAAAGTGCTTATCTTTAACATGAAAATGTGTTGAGGGTGGGGTAGTCTTAACAATGAGTTCATATTACACTTATATAATAAGTTGATCAGCAGACCACTTAGGTATTGTAAGTATGAAAAAAATTATATGGGATTGATTGGCAAGAAATTCACATCATTTTGAGTATTATAGTTTATTTTGCCCATCTTAAATTCAACTACAATTGTGAATGCACAAGTTGTTTAGGAGAAAAGTTGAGGAAGATTATATGTAGTAGTAGGGGTGTCAATTTCGGGTCACGGGTCGGGTTCGGGTCGAACCCGAAACTGACCCGGGTTCAATCGGGTCAACCCTAACCAGACCCGGGTAGGCAAAAGGGTCGAAAACACGGACCCGAACCCGAACCCGAACCCGACCCGTGGGGTTGTCGCGTTGACCCGACCCGAGGTTTTCGTGTCGTGTCAAATATTTACACCCCTAGGTAGTAGATTATAAGTCACTTCTACCTATTTTTATAATTCTTTAGTGGTTTAATTCTTATAATATGTAGGTGAGGTAGCACTATTTGCTCTATGCTATATATAGGATGCATTTGTCTTTTTTCACATCTCCTATAAAAGTTTGTTTTATTTATTTATTTGTTCTACGTTCTCATCTACTAAAATATGTAAAACTTTCATCGTTAAATGCATTCTATTTGATTTCTTGGATTAACAACCATTCGATGTGTCATCAGTCCTCTTATATTTTTTCATGTGTTATGAAAACATAATGTTCTTGGTAATAAAAATGCAGTAATTATCAACAAATATGGTAAAATGGCTTGGTGATACCTTTAGTCCTTATAGTATTGAGACTAAAAATTATGTTTTCTTATGACCAGCCTCTTACCAAGGGACCTAAGGTAGATTATGTAAGGTGGTTGGCTTGATCCCTTCAACAAATAAAAAGATGTAATATATGCTATCCAAAAATTTAGGTAATTATTATTAATATTTATCCAATATTCATAGAAATGATAATTATAAATTATATAGTGTTTAATAGGTTTTTAAGTGAGGCAGGAAGTGGTCTGAGAAATGTATTTCAATTTAGTGAATTTGCTCTAAAAGGGCAGTGTCGTCAGGATTAGCAGTGTTGTGGCATCCAACTCTCTATTTGGGAGGGGAAATGAGTGTGCACTGTGGTGCTGGGCAATGTCATTGTTGCACAAAGTCAAAGGTGGAGAGATTTTGGGAGAATATGGAAGATTCTCAAGGAGCATTTCCGTTGGAGAGTTGAGCATCAGAACGTTAGGTCATATTAATTAGTAATTTTTAAATATTAAAATATCTAAATTCAATTTATAAATTTCATTCGACCCCCAGCTAAGTCGAAGAAGAAGGAAGAAAAGGGGGAGGAGAAGAGGAGAGAGATAGAAAGAGAAGAGATTCTGAGGCCAAGAAGTTGAAATCGTTCGTCAGGCCTGTTCGGGATATTGTAGAGCATGAGATAAACTTCTGAACTCATATTTCTGATTTTAATTCTAGTAAATTTATAAAAAGTGATGAATGAAAATGTGTTTTTTCTCAAGTTTGACAAAGTTTTCAATGTGTAACTTTTAATATGTTGTATCCTTTATTTTAAACCTTTTGGCTATATGAAATCAAAGTTTCATCAGTTGATTTTTCTTATGTCAAATTTTTAGTATTGTATTGAATTGATGTTTTTCTGGCAAATGTAATAGTTATATAAAATTCTTGAAATATTTCTCTAAATTTAGAAGTTGAATATGAAAAAATTAGTGAGTATGCTGTTATATATGTAATGTGACTTTTAATGATGATTTAAGCAATTCATATATTATTTTAATACTATATTAGTATATTGAGACTATAAATTAATTAATGTTGCATTCATGATTGTATGACATAACATTGGAGATGTTTTGATATGTGAAAAAGTGCACTCTATGATATATTAAAGGGCCCTATATATTCTATTATGACCCCATCTGCCTGTGTAGATTTGGGAGGGATTCTGACCATACTTATTAAAAACATATATTAGAGGTTATGTGGCACTGCTTTGTTGTGATTATGGCTCCACTTGCTATATGCAGGTGTGAGAGATTAAAGAGAGGCATAAGTGCAAGTTGGGTTATAAGAAGGCCTTGAAACATGTGCATCATAATTATTGTATTACATATATTAATACTTTAATAAACTATGTTGAAGTAATGTTCAAAATTAAATAATAGTAAACCTTGAAGTGCTATATGAATCCTGATGAAAACTGAAAGTGAAATGCAAGTGAACATTTGAGAATAAGTGTTTTGTATTGTATATGAAACCTCTGTGAAAGTGATTGTATAAGCATAAGTGATAACCTTGAAATCAAATATAGACTGAAACACTGATAATTCATATTTTATGCACTTTAATTACTCTTTCAAGTCTTTATATTTCTTTAATTAATGGTTATTTAATATTTTAAATATTATATTGATATCTATGATGGGTAAAGGAAGAAGTCTTCTGGGCTAATTGTGCTCATTATGCTCCTTTTATTATTTCAAGAAAAGAGAAAGTCCTCATAAGAGATAAGGTATACAAGCAGCATTTTCTGAGTTTGGATAATCAATGTATTAATTTTTGTAATCCAATTTTAGTTATTCTAATGTATCGATAATTTAAAGCCAACATGATTATTGAATTTATGTTTTGATGAAATGAATTATGTAAATTTACTTTTATATTTTGAATTTATAGTATCTCTAGTTGTCTTTGGTTAATAGATAAGTTAATTAATTATATGCTTAAATTGTGAAACCCCTTAAGTAAAAGAAGCTAAACTCTTAAACATTTAGATATTTTTTGATGTAATGGTAAGAATTTCATTAAGAAACTCTACAGTTATGTGTGCTCATCTTAGAGAAATCCTAAGATGGGCGACCTCCTAGGAAGTTACACCAATAGGATAAAATCATGAGGCCCTTAGGCCAAAACGGACAATATCTCAATAGTTAAGAATTTGGGATACTATAAATGATATCAAAGCAATACACTAACCTGAAGATGGAAGCTATGTGATATATAAGACAAAGTGTTATGCCATGGGAGCCACCTCTTGAATACTATATGGGACAAAGTGCTACGTGATGGGAGTCACCACTTGAACTTTGATGAGCCACCTTTGGAATCATATCTTCTGATGGATGATTCTGGGATAAAGATGTTAAAAAGGACATCAGTTACTTAAGTGGGAGAGATTATGAAACCCTTTAAGTAAAAGAAGT